CGTTGGATTTTTAGAGATTTAGATTATGCATTTTAAAAAAATCTGAGAAAATCCTAAGAAAATATTTTTTTCTGCATATTCTAATTTATCTTTGGACTGTGGAAATCTGAGTACTGCTTTTGCTTTCACTTATTTCACTGTTGGTTTGCACTAGTCTCCCCTCCCCTTCACCTGTTTTGAACTGAATATGTAACAGGGTTTACACAACTGATGATACAAATAGGGTCACTGCCTCCCAACTCAGATTGCATTCTAAGTATTGATGGAGAGGAGCAACACTGGATGTGTTCCTGGGACGTCAACAAAAGTAACGCTGTTGCTGGTTTAAAGATATTATATATTTTGCTGTTGACTTGTCCTTTTTAATTTCTGATCATTTGCACTACCTAGATTTGTAAAAATAAATAAATAAATAAATTTTGTTTAGCTTGACAGTCAGCAGTCTCATACCCTGCATTTCAGTTTAATGGCCATAAGCCTATGTTGCTGTTTTCTGTAAAGCCTGCAGTAGTTTACATGCCAGGTCTGGAATGTGCTCTCCGATATCATGGTGACTGAGAAGCCACAGGACTGACTTTAGTTTCTGGGCTGTAGTTCCAGGAATCATTTTAGTTCCTGCTCCAGGGTACATGCATTTCTGCCAACCACCAACTACCGTGTTGGACACCTTGTACTGAACGTTGCTTGGTTAGACTTTAGAGAAGGGTTTGCGCTCTTACCCACCATTTATTAAAAAAAAAAAAAAAAAAAAAAAAAGCTCTGCATAGCTTACAAGGTGACAGGAAAATTGTTAAAGCATCACCTGAATGAAAAAGATTGCTGAGTAGGTTTTATATATAAATGTACATGAATGGCTAGCCATTCACAGCAACAGCAGTAACTTTAAATGCGAAATCGCACTTTGTACCTACACAGACAGAGTATATCGTGACATTTATTGTTCACATTATCTACAAACTACACAACAAAAAACTCTCAGGAGCGTTCTGATACTCTTCACTTCTTCATTTAGTGAATAACCATAATAATAATGGTTATGGTAATATTGTGATATTATAATAATAATAATAATAACTTCATCATGTGAATAACCACCTGAAGCTTAGTGTTTGTAAGCATGACGCTGTTGCTGTAATTCCATTTAAAGTGTACTTCAAACCTAGCTAAAAAGGAGAGCTTATTATTATTATTATTATTATTATTATTATTATTATTATTTACACAAGTAAGCGCTCAGTGCTTTATTACAGCAAGTGATGCAGTGTTGACTGGATCAAAATGTTGTCGTCTTGGGACAAATGTCCACAAATTTCATCAGTAGAAGATTGTAAAGTTTATTGTTTTTCTTCCACTGGCTAATAATTACGTTGACAGATGAATGCAATAAAAAAAAACAAGCCTTTGCTTAAAACCTGCTATGTGCTGCGTTTGTTTGATCGATTGTTTTCAGCATTTTAATCTGGAATAGTTGAGAGATTCAAGAAAAAAAAGACAAAGCTAGACTGCTTTTCCTCTTTTCTCCCCTCTAGAACCTGCACCGGCAGCTGCCAAACTGGCGTCCACCGGAGGAAAGAAGCTGAACAAGAAGAAGGTGGAGGAGGTGGTAGAAGAGGAAGAGGAAGAATATGTGGTGGAGAAAGTTCTGGACCGGCGGGTGGTGAAGGGCAGAGTCGAGTACCTGCTCAAATGGAAGGGCTTCACAGAGTGAGTGAAAGCATTAAAGCTTGATCATACCTAAACGAAAAGTTAGCCTTAAAGACTTGCATATCATTGATATTTAATGGTTTAACTTTTCATCGCTATTTTGGTCTGTTTCCACATTGGTTAATGTTGGGGGGTGGTGTACTTTATTGATCCCTGAGGGTAATTGTTTTGTTGCAGCTGTTCAATGAACAGCAAAGTACAAGGACAGAGAACATACAGCAGTTCTTCTTTCGGCTGTTCCCGTTGGGGTCGCCACAGCGGATCATTGGTCCGCATATTTGATTTGGCACAGTTTTGACACCTGAGGCCCTTCCTGACACAACCCTCCCCAACTTTATGCCGGTTGGGCCCGGCACTGGGAGTACACTGCCGTGTGATTCCCTGGCCGGGAAACGAACCTGGGCAATGGCGGTGAGAGCACAGTGGCCTAACCACTAGTCCTCCAGGGACCTCCCAGTACCCATACGGCAGCAATCTAAGTAAATAAAAAAGTGCTGCCAGTTAGAATTAGGCCTTGCTTCATCTCTAGCTAAAGGGAATAAAAGCGGAAAATCATGCTTGGTATTTCTTAGATCACAAACTACCCGAATTAAATTCCCGACCACTCAGCACATCATAACTGCACTGAATTCTGGAACTTGGAGTGTAGCTTTTATTTCCACTACTTCAATATTAAATTACTTGTGACGTTAAATGTTGCTGAAAATGATGAGCGAGGGGGAAAAATGCTCGTGCTCTTCTGTTTTTAGGTGCTAACGGAGAAACCTCATGTGTTATGTTTAAGCTCTTTAAATGATCCTGTTAAACACCGTCGTAAACCTATTGAAGTGCAACTGTGTGTGCACGTGTGGATGCAGCGTCAATGCCAACAGGATACCTGCTGCAGTCGTCTTGCGTATGCATAGTTAAAGCAGGCCAGGCCTAACGTCTTGCAGCAATATCACCACCAGCCAACAAATTATTACCAGAATCACTAAACATGACAAATATTTCAATGTAAACATATTTAATGTGTTCTGGTATAGATTGTTTCTTTGCGTTATTTATTTCTGTGGTTGTTTTTTTTTACTTGCACTAATAAGCAATTCAGTGATGCTTTTAATGTCTCAAATAGTGAAGACAACACATGGGAGCCTGAAGATAACCTTGACTGTCCAGATCTGATAGCAGAGTTCCTGCAGTCACAGAAGAAGGCTGGAGATGAGAAAAAAGACACAGGTGGCAAGAGGAAACTGGGGGAGTCAGATAATGAGACAGGCAGTGAAGACAGGCCTAAGAAGAGGAAAGATGAGGTAAGAAATGGATTTGCTTTATGGACATTAGTGTGAAATAAAACTTTATTTAACCTGCACCATGCAAATAGGCTTTTGTTTGGGGCTTTAAGATAAGTGGAAAAGCCGGAAACCCACATTTAAATGGGAGTATGAACGCTGACGGGTTCTTATTTCCTGTTGCAGGAGAAGCCACGGGGCTTTGCTCGGGGATTGGATCCTGAACGCATTATTGGAGCCACAGATTCCAGCGGAGAGCTGATGTTCCTCATGAAGTGGTGTGTGAAGATATCTTTCTGTTCAAGCAGTATTTTTCCCTATGTTTGTCAGTAAAACACACAAGTTATTAGGGCAGAGAGTCGACAATCTGGTTCTTGGGGGCCCATAGTGAGCCCATATTTTCATTGCTGTTTCAATTATCTATGCTAGAATTAGAGTTAATCTTACCTTCTCATTGTGCCCCATTCATATATCCACTCACCAGCCACTTTATTAGGAACACCATACTAATTGACTAACACCCTTGCCATGAAAACATTCCTCACACCATTACACCACCACCAGCCTGAACTTTTCACCCTTTTATTTTAATACTTGGATGAAAATCCTTTGCAGTCAGTGACTGCCTGAAGTCTGGAGCCCATGTTCTCAAAACTCAAATTCTGAGTTTCCTCCCTGGAGATGCTTTGCCAGGCCTTCACTGCAGCCACCTTCAGTTGCTGCTTGTTTGTAGGTTTTTCTGCCTTCAGTCTTGTCTTCAGTAAGTGAAAAGCAGCTCTATTGGGTTGAGATCAGGTGACTGACTTGGCCATTAAAGAATATTCCATTTCTTTGCCTTCAAAAAGTCTTGAGTTGCTTTCGCAGTATGTTTAGGGTCATTATCCACCTGCACTGTGAAGTGGCGTCCTATCAGTTTTGTAGCATTTGGCTGAATGTGAGCAGAGAGTATAGCCCTATACACCTCAGAATTCACCTTGCTACTTCTGTCAGCAGTCACATCATCAATAAACACCAGTGAGCCCGCTCCATTGGCAGCCATACATGCCCATGCCATAACACTGCCTCCACCATGTTTGACACATGATGTGGTATACTTTGGATCATGAGCTGTTCATGTATATGTATATATACATACTATATACATAATATATGTGTGTGTGTATGTGTGATATATATATAAATATAATTTGTGTGTATAATTAACACACATGTGAACCGTATAACGAGACTATAATATTAATAGTAGTACATAATAATAACAGTTCTATGACTTATATTTTTATGTAATCAAGTACAACTGAATGTTTTCTCTCTCTTGCCTGCAGGAAAAATTCCGATGAGGCAGATCTTGTGCCAGCAAAAGAAGCAAATGTCAAGTGCCCACAAGTAGTTATTTCATTCTATGAGGAACGACTAACGTGGCACTCGTACCCCAATGAGGAAGAGGAGAAGAAAGATGACAAAAACTAAACAATAGGCATAAACGAGCAACATGGTGGTTATTGACAGAATGGCAGAAAGTATTGGGTTTTTTTTTTGTTTTTTTTTTTTTGTGTGGAAACTTTTTAACTTTTGCCATAGATCTTGGACACCTGGATATTGTGTAGAAAACACACGTACAGTGGTGGGGTTTTCTGGAGATTAAATATTAAAGAGTCTGTATAGCAACTGCAGAAACACTTCTCCATTTGATCCATCTCTTTTTTTTTTTTTTTCCTTTTTTTTTTCCTTTTTTTTTTTTCTTTTTTTCGATTATGGGAAATGTAGTCTACCAAGCTGCAGTTTGGTCCTAAGTCAGTGTTTGTCTCAGATATGGTTTTATGTGAGTACACTTTTGCAGCTATGATGTATTGTGATGTGAAGCATAGGCACCGGTATTTTTTTAAGCTAAAATAAACTTAAACAGTTCATTAATATTCTTCATCTTTAAATTATTAAAGACTTGTTCTTAAAAACACCTCCTTCTCTGTCCAGGTCTTCATATAGCCCTGGCTTATAATTTTCCCCATTATATTATAAAGAATTTCTGCAGGACATTGATATAAGATTGAACACATTTACTGTATTTTTAAGATGGATGGCCACTGTTTGTTGGTATTTATATATATTTTTTATGATGATGATGGCTGGTCAGTTGCTGTTTAATACTGTCAAATGCTCAGATTTAATATTAATATTACAGCAAGTTTATGATCTTATTTCCTTCTTTAATCAATATAATGGTTTCTCCATGAGTTTGGTGTGTGCTTATGGTTGTTCTTGCTACTGTAAGTGCAACAAGAAGAATTGTACTGGAAGAAACAGATGCAGCCAAGTCATTCAGAAAACCCAAATATCATATATAATGTTTTACCAAAGCCTCATACCTCATGATTTTGAAAAGAACTGATTTTCAGGTCTGTTGCTTTTCACTTTCAACTTCTCAGGCAGCAGTGTTTCGTTGCTGTAGCATCCCCCCCCCTTCTTTTAAACTCCATTAAATGATGACATGTTGCTTCATTCCATAGAGTGTGTAAACGGATAATGCTGTCAGTGACTGCAGCATTATTTCAGGAACTGGAATTCATGTTTTAAAATTGGTCTTGGTCTGGAAAGTGGGCTTATTGGGAGATAGTGAACATCCTCGTTTGTGTGGGTGTGCTGTTCAGTTCCTGCATCTGATGTCCTCTGGGTATTAATTGAATGAAACTTCATGTGTAGAAGGCTGTTGAGGATCTGAGGATGCAGTGGAATTTAACCGTTATGTTTTAATCAGTGCATCACATCATTGACTGAAACTGCCTTGATTTCTACAACCTCTCGCTTAGCTTTGGAAGCTACTTTTCCTATAATCCTATCATTTTTTTTTATTTTTTTTTTTTCCCCTTAATTAATTATTTTTGTTTTGTGGTTAGAGATTTTGTACCTGGCCATTTTACATCTGAATAGATGGATGCAGTGGGATGGTTTATATGTGTATAAAAATGCTGACAGAAAGCAGGTGATCAAGTAGCCAACTATAATGGAACACAATGTACCATCGTTGTTAAAACAGAACCAAACTGATTTAACTACATGATTATCCAAGGCTCGTGTGGATCAGGCTAATGGTGACATGTTAGTTTCTGAAAAATGTGTTAATCAACTTCTATAAAAAAAATTTAAAAAAAGTTGGTTCCAGTTGGTTCCAGGGGAAACAAAAGTCAGAATTGCATCCCACTAGTTAAAAATGCTACATATTCTCATTCTGTTAGTGAGTAGATGGCACATTCGACATTAGTGTTGTAGGAGTGCTCCTTTTTTTTTTTTTGTTCTTTTGTTTGTTTTGTTTTTTTTTAAACTTTTAAAAAGTTCCCATTCTGTGTCCTGACTTATCACTGTTATTGTAAATTCATCTGTATTTTCCCTTTTAGATGTTTACTATCTGTCTAAAACGTGCTAGCCATCTTTTGGTTTTTCTTTTCTTTTCTTTTTTTTTTTTTTTTTAAATAAATCCTTTTTATTAAGAGAGCTGTCTCTTTAAGAGGTCATTTTGCAGCTTCATATTTGTCTTCTTACAGTGTGCAAAACTGACAGTTTGTTTTAAAGAAGCCACTCGACAGATGGTATCTAATATCTTTAATCAAACACAGAAAACAAGCCCAGCTTGTCTTCAGTAATTCACGCAAAAAGTATGAAAACGTCATAGGGCATATGCAAAACTCTGATCAATACAATGTTAAGGTCTCTGATTCATACAGTATACCAGAGAAAGTAGAAAACAAGTTTTAAAAAAAAAAAAAAGCATAATGCCTAAACATGGTGCCTAACCAGTGACATTATTAAAAATGTTTGTTGAATCACAAAACTGGTTCTAGAGATAACACCATTTGAATAACACCCGCACTAGACCTAAAGCCTGACTGACAGTAAGGCAAGGATAGACAGTGCATTAATTCGGGGATCCAAGACCTTTTACTTGTTTATTCCAAACTTCTAAAATAGCACCTTGTTTTACAGTTCTTCCATTCCTGTTCTCATAACCCAGAGAATGGACAGGGGTTCTCGAACCTTTTGCAGCCAGTGACCCCTTTAACTGTAAAATAAATTTCACAGACCCTGAACAGATTTATTTTATGTGCACTGTAATATTATGCTCAGTATTCACACGTGTATAATAACGTTAGAGCTATTTATTGTAGACGGAGAGCTTTTTATTC